TAAGTAGGAAGGATTGCATTTTGTAAAGCTCAGCCATTCGATGATAATTGTTGAAGTCGGCCGTGATTATGGGGATGTTGTAGTATAGGATTCTGTCTCCTTTTTTATACTGTTGAAGTTCTGCATTTGAAGAAGTAGGATAGAATAATAGCTGAATTTCTACACATACACTTCAAAGCCCTAAGGATTAACACAGAGTCAAAAAACCACCCATAATCCTGAGCACTGGGGACCCCAGGTGATTTTATTTAGCCAGGTCTGGGAACCACATAACAGCAGAGGGAGAGGAAACACCAGACAAACAGAGGCCAGCACAGCAGTGAGGGCCTGTTAATGACAAAACACAGGTAAAATATTCCTCAGAAAGCGAGTGTGGAGAAACACAGATGAGGCCTGAGACCTGGTGGATCAGAACCCTGCTACTGGGCAATTGAAAACCTTTTCAGTGCAATGTTAAACGGGAGCTATACAACTCTTCCTAAATAACAAACCAAAAGCACACACACACACACAAACACAAAAAGAAAACAACATCAACAAAGAAATACAGTAAATACAATCTACAACATATGGTAAACATAGACTAGAACATGGAGGAGTTTAGAATGAAACAGGAAAATAAAAATGGTTTTATTAATCTAAATTCTTATACACCAAAATCAATCATAATAATAAAGCTTAAAACATTATCCATAAAAAATCCAATAGTCCAGAGTGAGACGCAAAAAATGTTTTAATGAAACAGATTTAAAACTTAAACATTTTAACCGATGGACTAAAATTAATTTTGGATGCAAGTTAAAATTGGGGCAGAGAATATTCTTTTTCACAACAGAATGCCAGCAAAAAGAAATTAAAATTAATTTTGGATGAAAGTTAAAATTCGGGCAGGGAATATTTTTTTTTTGTGAAGAATGCCAGCAAAAGCAAGTATAAAGTGAGATTTTGAGATAGAAAGTTTTCAAAGTACAGACATAAATATAATAACTGACACAGGCAGGGGTGGTTAATGATAAAATGTTCAGAGGAAGATCGTTAGAATACAGGATATTGATACTATTTCAAACCGCTTTCCAAATTAATTATAACCAAGGTGTCTTTACAAGGGACAGAGCTCCTAGACCCCTCCTTTACCAAGTGACCATCCTAGTATCACAACAATGGGGATGGACACACTGGGCCTTCTCTGCCTGCAGATGTACTGAGGTAGGAAGCTCACAGCATGGACTCTGCAGAGTTCCTGGCAAAATGTTTAGGCTGAATTTAATCATGAGGACATTTTCAGATAACTTCAGAATGTAGACCATCGAGCCACACAGCTGACCTGTCCTCTACAAACAAGTCCATGTCACCACCATCAATGACAATAACAAAAAGACGAGAAGACGTTTGGGATTCAAAATGACTAAAAAGGCACAAGCTACACTGTCTTTTTACACTTTTTGAGCCCAAAATGTCTCTTCTCCTTTTTGTTGTGTTCTTGGTGGTGACATGGACTGTTTGAAGGAGACAGGTCAGTTGTCCTGTTCAATGTTCTACATTCTGCAGTTGTCTGAGGGTTACCTCCTATGAAACTCAGGCTAAGCGTTTTCAGCAAGAACATGGCATTGTTCATACTCTGCCCTGGCAGAGTCCCGGCTGACATGCTGTCTCCTGCCAGCGGCTCCTGACTCCTGTTCTCTACACGATGGGAATTGAGAGGAGCAGGGCTAAGGCCTGTGAATGTTGTTTGTCCATCTGGGCATTGGTCTCCCTAGGTATTGATCACAATTGGAGGGGGATGGACTGTGGCTTCTCAAATCAAAGGAGCGTAGTGGTTTGAAATCATCAAGAGTATTCTGTGTCTAAAATTCAATCCTCAGTGAAGGACTCCTGCAGTATTGTGTTTGGACTTGAACTTGCTTTGCTGTTTTTGTTTTTTTCATCAAGTGTAAAAGCTACTTTTTGTGACATCCTTTCTTCCTTTGCATCCTTCCAGCAGTATTTGGTATCTGTAGGGGCGAGAGAGAGAAACTCAAATGAGCATTTTTGTCAGGTCCTCCCCGTGGTTGAGTCTGGAGAGACTTCTAGGTAGTGATATCTCAGGGGCAAACGGATCTCCTGCTGGGAGGATGAGCTGAAGGGTGAGCCCTGGGCTGGCTGAAGGGGGAAGCGCCATCCACAAGTGAGAACAAAACATTCCTGAACTTCCCTGAGCTTCCAGTCAGCCTTGGGTGCAGGATATAAGGACCCCACCTATGCACAACCAGCAGCGGGGAACATCAGCCCCTTTCCTCCTGATCCCCTCTGTCTGGAGCAGAGTGATGGCTTTTCCTCCATGTGAGGATGTGCTCAGCATCAATGATGCCTGCCAAGAAACAGAGGGGAGCAGAAGGAGAGAACCTTCTGCAGAGAAACCCACCCCTTTACAACTCCCTGTCCTAGTCTTCTAGGGAGGAACGTGAAGGCCCTGGGAAGAACCCTGGGTGTGAGAAGCAGCAGAAACCTCAGACAATATCCACGTCCAGTTCCATCTTTTACAACAGAGGAGTGGTGATGCCACAGAGGTAAGATTGAGCTAAGGCCACATGACTTGCTATTGACAACCCAGGAATCAGAATCCACCCACTAAGACCCTTTCAATAAAGATTGGAGAAAGTGAGAGGAAAGGCTCCAATCTGGACGTCTCAACAGTCATGAGAGGAGGTTGGGTCACCTTGGCAACTGCAGGAATAAGATTTTACAAATAAATATGATGTTGCTGCTGCTTCTTTGGTTGGTTAAAAAGAAAAAAAAAAGATAATTATAAGTATTTGTCCAAAGGGGATCAGGAAAGAAAGGAAATTTTTAAAAAGAGACTCAAAATGGAGTTAGTAAAGAGAGAGTGGGGACTGTAACCACGGCCTAACTTATTTTCTCTAATGCCCTGAAGTTGATTCCACATCTGGTTCCACCTTAAGGCATCTCTGGAAATATTCTCAATATCTAGAACAAGAAAACTCTGAAGTACAAAGTGAAACGGATTAGTTTGTGTTTTACTACATTCTCCTCTACCACTTACTGTTTTCCTCAAGTACATTTTGGGAAAGGTTTCTTTTTAATATTTTATGCCAGTGTGAAGAGAGGCATTAAGAAGTATTCATATAAAATCTCTTGCAGAATTTCAGTCTTGGTTTGTTATTGTATTCTCTTCAGGAAAGTGAGACCAATGAGTTCTCTTTGGGGATTTTGTGGAAGGACAATAACTGACCAAAAGTAAAATTTTCACATTGCAGTGGTGATTCCATGAGTGGGCTATAAAATGGGTGTGGGGAAATGTAAACTGGAAGTTTTCTTTTAAAATGCAAAAGAAAATACTAAATTCCACTATATGTAATGTGGGAGGTATTATTTCTGTAAATTAGGTGTTAATATAATGACTATTTCTTATCTTTTATTCAAAACTGAGCAAGTGTGCTTCAAGCAGAGGCTAAAAGTCTAATCTATTAATTTTCTTGTTTTTCCTATTGATTTTTTCTATGCTATACAAACAGTACTATTGGGAGGGGAATACAGATCCCATCAAAGACTGATGGATACTCAGCCTTTTCTGTGGAGTAGCCACACGTATGTGACACTTCCATGTTGGTAAGCTGAGGTCATAGTAGACCAGAGGTCCTTGTCACCTTTAGCCACATATTAGAATCACATGGGAGCATTTTAAAACTACGGATGCTCAAACCACACCCCAGGCCATGTAAGTGAGAATCCTGAGGTGTGAGTTGAAGGGATTCATCTTAATTGAAATCTCACCAGGTGCTTATTAAATGGCAGCAGGAATGTAGAGATACTAAATGGACCAGCCCAATTTCCCATCATTTTCTTCCCTTTCCCCATTTCTCTCATGATTGGCTTTGTTCCCAGTGGTTCCATGGATTGTAGCCTTCTCCCTGACAATTTCAGTTCAATCTCTCTCTTATCAACAGGGCTGGGCCAAAGAAAAGATTGTCCTGTAGACAGATTCCTGTCTGTCATCTTGCGTATGCATAAAGCTGGTCCTGGAGTCACTTTTCTCAAAGTTAATTCATAAAATGCTCTCTCATATACACTGGCCTCAAGATGTATCTGACTTGCATTTTAGACCCTTCACTGGAGTTATAGAAGTGGAAATGAGAATAAAAAGGAGAGAGGTTGCAATGATGAACCTCATGATGTATGCAGTTTTGAAGTCCTGCCCTCTGCATGTACTTTTGGAGTGATGTCCCTTTAGAATGTCATAAATGTTCTCCAGTTAACGTCAGCTCAAGTGAGTCCATGAGGTGAGAACACTGAGACCCTGGCAACCCCACCCATGTTGGCACTAGGCTGCACATCTGGGGCTGAAGACAAACCTGACTCCAGGCCAGTAGGGGAACTCCCGCCTGTGACCCCGGTTCTAATTTAGTTTCCTAAGTGGGGCTCTTTGTGCTTAGTTTTAACACTTCCCATTCAGAGGAACAAGTGATGATTAAGAGTTGACTTGGTTGGGTTGCTCAAAGAAGATTCAAGGGGAAAATCGATGTGTAAATGATGTATTAAAGCAATGATTTCTGCAGAAAGGGGCAATGGAGTTGGGGATGCAGGGAGGAAAGCTAAATTTCCCAAGAGAGTGTGTGATTCCAGGCAAACGTCCTTGTGTTCAGCAGCTTAAACTACGCACTTGGATGAGGACAAGGAGGCCTGGCTCTCCTGTGTCCGTGAGAGGGACTCTCAAGACATTAAAGAAGGAATAGAGCAGAGTTCAGAGAGCAAAGAGGACATGGGGGTAGAAAGGGCTTGTCAGGGTGGGAACCCAGGGGACACAGAGGTAACACCAGACAGAGGTTACAGCTGCTGTTGGAGAGAACAAATGGAAGAGAAAAAGCAGTGGGAGAATGAGCTGTCACCATACACAGAGAAATAAGAAGTGAGTGCAGCTATCAGCCATAGATGTGATTACCTCTGCACCCTAAGCTTGCAGGCCAGGGAATCTGCATGCCAGTCTCCACTTGCTGAGTGGGAGTTTTCTTTTGATGATCTTTGGTTTCGGGACACTGGAGGCATGAATCTGGCCAATGACTTGACACCCTTGTGTGTTGTCTGCTGAGCCTTTAAGTGCATCATCTTCCAGCTGGGGAGGGTTCTTCATCCCCAGGGAGGGCTCCAAAATGAGCTCTGAAAATAAAACCACAGCCAATGGGATCCACTGGCACCCATGATCTTACTGTGACTTTCTCTTCCACCCAGAGGACATTAAATCAAGAAAGGGGCCTTGGACAAGAAAGTCCAAAGAGTGAGGGGAAGCCAATAGAGTCACTTTAATGTTTTCTTTTTGTTTATCTTTCCTACATTGCTCAGTAATGACAAGATTGCCAGGAGCCACAGGCACTGCCAATTCACAGCAATATTCAAGAAACACAAGATTAAGAAACACAAATAGCTTCCAGGTAGATAAGGCAAAGGCAAGGATATAAAACTCTATGTAGGCTACACTTTGGGGAGAGCTGAGATTATAAAAATCAAAGTTAAATCAGAGCTGTGTTCAAACAGGAGATGGGAATGGAAGGGCCTGGCAGGGTGGCAGCCCATGTGGCACCGAGGTGAGATCAGACAGAGGTGACAGCAGCTGATGAGAGAAAAGAACCAGGAAGACTAAACCTAGAGAATTTATAAAAGTTGCATCATTATACGATCTGCTACATATATATACACCCTATATAGCATACACACCAGATATACATAATCACACATAATAGGACAAATGATATAAATGCATATATCTGTACATGTTAATTTAGAGAAAAAATATTATATAGGGATTTGGGAGAGATTGAATGTAACAGTATCATCACTATTCAGGTCCATTGAAATGGGAAAAAAAATAGCAACATGAGAAGAATGAGAAAGAAAAGGTGTGGGAGAAACAAATGACCTGGTAGACAGCGGGGAGAAATCACCAGGTGAAGGAAAATATTAATGAAACAAAAGGCATTCACTCTGTCCTCTTACCTGGTGCCTGGTTCAGGCTCTGGACTGCAGGGAAAGTGAGCAACAGGGAGTGTGTCTGAGCCAGTGGGGTGAGTCTTGGCTGGGGGTGTGAGAATCCACAGAGAAGCAAAGGAGAGTCCAGTGGGAAGAAATCAGTTTAAATAAGTTTTCACGGCACATGTCAGGGACTGCGTATCCCCCGACACTCCCTGAGCGCCTTCCATGTGTCCTCTCCTTGGACCCAGATGGTGCTCGTTATCTCACCCAACCCTCCCTCCTCTTGAGGACAGGGGTCCCCTCATTCCTCAGCGAGGGCATCGCCTGACAGATGAGCACCAGGCAGCCCCAGGGGCTCCAGGAGGAGATACTGAGTGGGCGGAGAGTGAGAATGAACACGACCCAGGGTTTTAAGGAAATCTGAGCACAAGTGGATCCCTGTGAGACAGAAACTGAGGACATGGCCATGGACATGAGTGGAGAATTTGAACTAAATGGAATTTCATAAAACAGACTGATGTGAACACTTTCCATGTGAAAGTTGCCCTTTTATTTCCAAAAAAAAAAGCAGAAGAAAAAGAGGAAGCTGGACATGTCAGGAGACTGAGTGTGGGCCGAGGATTTACACTGTTACTCAATGTGCCTCATAGGTTGTTACTGAAAGTGCCTGATAGGGGAAAATTGGCTTCATGAGGGATGGGGAAGGAGAGGAAGAAAACTGGCAGAAGAGTCTGTGTGAGAAAGGAGAGGAAGAGGGGCCCTAGAAAGCAGAGATCTTCATAACTGCTCTACCTCAGAGGACACATCATCCATGAAGTCACTTTCTAAGTGTAAATTGAGCAGAAAGATAAAAGGATTAGATAACACCTATTGATAGGTTTATGGGGCAATTCTTATGGAATCAGACCCTTCAGAAATTATAATAATAAATATTCCCAACAATGATTGCAGGTAGATATTATTTTTCAGGTATCTCAGATGAGGGAACAGAGATGTAAATAGCAAAAAGACAAAAACCTTGGCCAAAGTCAACAAGCAGAAAGTGGCAAACCCAGAACCTGAGAGCAGATTTGGTTCTAAGCCCCAGACCTTTGCTCATCTCACTGGGTTGGAGCATCATGAATTTCAACTTGACCCTGAGGAAGCACAGAGTGGTCCCATTCTCTCCTGCACCCACAGCACCGTGACCACCAACACCTGGAAGAGAGCTTCATGACTCTGTTTCTTTCCCTACCTTGGAAGGGCCGGTGGTTCCCAGAATCAGCATTGGCTGAGAAGCTGTAGGTGGTGGAGGAAAGGCCCCGCCTGGCCAAGCCATTCCCACAGTGGAACCCTTGATCCAGCTGTAGTCGCAGACATTTGGGCACTAGGGTGCTTGGTTCCAGCTGTGCCTGTGAAGCCTGCACCTCTGACAGGTGGTGGCTCAAGTCTCCACTCCAAGTCCCTTGGGGACAGGCCACCTTGGTGGGAGCTGAAAGGAGAAGGGGCTTCAGTAGAAACAATCTGAGTTTTCCCTTTGTTAAGCATGCCCAGAACACGCATCCCTGATGTCCCTGCTTTCAGTAAAGCCACCCAGTGACCACGCCACACAGACAGACATGTCAGTGCAGGCGACGTCACCTTTCCTGTCTGTGTCTGGGTGCACCGACACAGCAGGGGCCCAGGCTGGGGTGTCCCTGAAGTGAAAAACCTCTGCTTCAGTCCAGTGGGCTTTGGATCGTCTAACAAGACCATCTCGATTATTCTGTTATTATTCATCTCTTTCCTGTGCCTAGAGGGAAAGTTCTAGAGAGCCCTCAGAGCACAGGAGAGGCGGAGCTGTTTTTCTCCATACACAGGGCTGTAAGAACAGGCCAAGAGTTAGAGCTGCGAAGCTTTGAGAAAGAACCACGAGAAAGGGGGCTGGGATGCTACAGACCAAACACTAAGTGAGGCAAAATTTCTGGGTTCTGGGGCATTTTGAATTTCCCATTGCCTATAATGGTTTGACCCCCTGCCCACAGATATCCATCCTATTGCCATATAGTGGGTGTCAGCAGACAGAGGCAATGTAGGAGAGGGACCAGTCCCTTCCCGGAAATTCAGGGGCCACAAGAGCCACAGATCAGCATGTGCGGTTCCTTAGGAAGGTAACAGAGGACACGATCCTCACATTACCCACTGCTCCAGTGGCGTTCGGGTGGCACCCCTTAAACAAATTATTTCCATTTCCACAGGGAAAGGAATACACATTCTGAGTGGACTAAGAAAAGACTTCCAATGACCTCATGCAAGTCCAGGTCAGGCTCAGGATGGGGACGGGGCCTGCAGGGCCGGATCCACGTTGCTGTGGGCTCCTGTCTCTCCTCCCCTCTCCACATCCTCTTTCTCTGCAAGGTTTTCTAAGTTTTCTTAAAAATGCCTCAGTGCCCTCAGCTCCAACATGGAGATGCCACTGCCCACTCACAAGTGTCCCTTGAGCCCTGAATGGGTTATAGCAGGACAGAGCTTGCTTGCAAAGGGGCAGGGCATACAGCAGGTGCAAGGACAGTGTGTATTTTAATTGTCTCATGAATCACTGTGATCCTAGAAAAGCATTTGCTATTTTGAAACTCAAATGCAAAATGGGAAAGGTGATGGTCCCAGTATGAAAGGCACTTACTGACCAAAATAGAATAGAGGCCAACATTTTTGTTGCTAGTTTCTTTCTTTGTGTGTGTGTGCCTGTGAGTATGTGTGTGTGTGTGTGTGTGTGTTTGTGACACAGGGTCTCACTTTGTTGCTCAGGCTGGAGTGCAGTGGTGAAATCGTGGCTCACTGCAGCCTCAACTAACCAGGCTCAGGTGATCCTTCCACCTCAGCCACCCAAGAAGCTGGGACTACAGGTGTGTACCACCATGCCCCGCTAATTTTTTCTGTGGAGACAGGGTTTCACCATGTTACCCATGCTGGTCTCAAACTCCTGAGCTCAGGCGATCCATCTCCTTGGCCTCCCAAAGTGCTGGAATTACAGGCGTGAATCACCACACCTGACATTTTTGTTAATTTCATTACATCATAATTCAATATACTGAGGGGCAGCACAGAGTTACTTGCTCTTACTAGAAGACAATGTAATGGGTAAAACCCCCCAAAATCTACATGAAATTCCCAGAATAGAGGTTAAAAAAAAGAGAGAGAATGAGCAAGAAGAAATGAAAACTGGATTTTGTTTTTACACGTCCTGTGAAGCTGCTATCTCAAGGGGCACTTGCTCAGAGAAAGGCCTTTTGGGACATAATGGGGACAGGAACCACTCTGCTTTGCTCATCGGTTACGCCAGAACCTCATGAGGGACACTAGTTGTGGATGGTTTTCATGAGAATATAGCACTGAGCCCAAAACTTGATTGAAACTAGAAACCCACATGTGGAGAAAACCACTGGAGTTCTGCAGAGGATGCAAGCCTGGCCACACACAAAGGAAGGGATGCTGGACTGCGTCAGTGGAGGGAAGACCCCCTCGGAGGAAGTAGAGCCGCAGTCCCCAACCTTTTTGGCACCAGGGTCTGGTTTCATGGAAGACAGTTTTTCAGGGACCAGGGTAGGGAGAATGGTTTTGGGATGATTCAGGCACATTATATTTACTGTGCACTTTATTTTTATAAATATTACATTGTAATATATAATGAAACAATTATACAACTCACCATAATGTAGAATCAGTGGGAACCCTAAGCTCATTTTCCTGCAACTAGGTGGTCTCATCTGGGGGTGACAGTCACTGGGAGCCAGTGACAGATCATCAGGCATTAGACTCTCATAAGGAAAGCACAATCCAGATTCCTGGCATGTGCACTTCACAATAGGATTCGAGCTCCTGTGAGAATCTAATGCCCCTGCTGATCTGACAGGAGGTGGAATCCAGGCTGAAAAGCTCTCCCACCGTTCACCTCCTGCTCTGCGGCCCAGTTCCTAACAGGTCATGGACCCATAATGGCCCATGGCCCTATGGCTGGGGATCCCTGAAGAAGAGAAACTAGCTTGGGACACAGGAATCATGAAACAGGCCTCCAAATAATTGGGAAAAACTCCCAGCATATGTGGATGGCCAGAGAAGAGATAAGGGCATGTAGTTAGCAACATAATTTCAGAAAAGACAGATGCCCTATCTTAAAGAAGGAGGTCTGTTATATAAATTTCTCCAAGAGAGCTACTACGGCCAAGAGTTTGCAATAAGCCCTCATCACACCCCTCTCTGGCCTGTTTTGACAGCCACAGCCTGCTCTTGTGAGAAGGATCCAGGTGACAAAGGAGGCACTTGGAACAGGAGAAGAGGATGCTTTACCCAGTGGATGTCTGTCCTTAAAACTGGATCCAAGAGCCAAATTCAAAACAGGCTCAGTGTCTAGGGCCTGCCTGCAGAGGTGGTCTGAGTTGCACAAGTTGCAGAAACAAAACATACAGAGGCTGCCTGGGAGGACAGCGAAGGTTTGTGACCTCCAGGCTGGAGTACTCACAGGCTATACCCAGAGGAGTGCAGGCAAGTTGATCCTCCAGTGAGGACAAGGTGCTGCTATAAGGCTGGTGGCAGTCAGATAGGTCACGGTCAACTAAAGGAGTCAAGTAAACTTCATCCACGGAGTCCTCTGGGATTTCCTCCTCCTTTACCTCTGGCAGCTCCTGGCTGAGCCTGGAGTAAAGAAGACAGAAGATAAACACCAGAGAGAACCAAGACCACTGCGCCCAGCTGGTTCTATAGGGAGGGCCTCAGGAAGGCCCAGAGGAAGCAAAGTACAGTCCCCTCAGAGAGATACAACCATGCTTCCATGTCTGAAGCCGGAGACAGAGTGTGACAGGCTCTCAGTGCACTGGGCAGGCAATGATCTGGGGAGAAGGAGATGGAGTGATCCCTGTGGGAAACTGCCAGGACACAGTGCATTGGGTACTTTTGCATACATTTTGTTGAAATTAGCATCAGTAGCCAAATGAATACAGACTCTTGAGTCTTCCCAGACAGAGTTCCTGTATCCTCAACATCTCTTGCTCTCAACATTGTAGCATGACAGAGTTATTTTCATTCACTTTCGTGCTGTCAAATACTTGTAAACATGGTAATGCCAAAGAGGCAGACATCAGATGTGCAGCTCAACTTCACTTAAGCAAAAAGGACAGAAAAGGGAACTGAAGAAAATGTCTGTTATTGATCAGTTCAATAGAATCAACTGAATGCAGATTAGTAGAAATGAAAGGAATTAATAAGGAAGAAATACAAATACAGGTGTACAATGAAAAGAGTCAACCTTATGAATATGGCTATTTCATGGTTGGCTGAACAGATGGAGCAGGTATATTCTGTACACTCTGACTTTCCCTGCATCTGAGACTCCTCATATCAACACTGAATTAACTGTCCATGATTCCTCAGAGTTACCTGGGGCACGGTGGGTCTTGATCTTCTAGCTCCTCTTGATCCTTTTCAGTTTCTGCAAATAAATTCAGACAGAGACAGCCACATTAAGCAGGTTCTCCTACACACACAAACAATCCACTGTGCAGTCCTAACATAGGAACATCAGCTTCCTCAGTGGGAGAACAGGACAATGTGAGAGAAACATTCCAGGAGGCCTGAGGTCCTGTCATGAGAGAGATGCCTTGGTTTTCTTCCCTCAGCCTAGGAATGAAATCTCCCTGTTCTGGTAGATCATTATTCCAACATCAACCGTCCTGATTTTGTGCAAATAGTTATGCAATTTTTTCACACCAATTCAAGGCAAACACCCCAACTGCTTTCTAGAGGGAAAACTACACTATTCAGCCTTCAGTCATCAAATACCCACATTGTTCAAGGTTGCAAGGATTTTAGACACTGAAATTAGAATGAAGGAGAGAACGTACAGACCCTGCAATCAAAATGAAATATTGGTACTACAAAGAGACATTGGTTATTCGTGACATCTAGGAGTGACAAGGCCCAGTCTTGTTTCTAGAAACGTAACAAAAGCAAATGTACTGCTCACCTAAAACAGGCTAACATCAGAGACACAGACAATGAGACTAGGTTCTTTGAAATGTGGGTAATATCTTTACCAAAACATAGACAAAGATGTCACAGGCCTTGGGCAGGGGTAGAATCTCATAGGACTTGGTTGGGGAAAGAAATTTGTAAGGAACACAATAGGTGGCAAGATGAATCTTATTCAGATTAAGAGGCCTGACAGATACCTGTTGGGCACGTGCTACGTAGGTTGGTGTGAATTTGTCAATGTCGTGGCGGTGGCCCAGGGTGACACAGGCATGGTCTGAGATGAGAAGGAGAGCAAAGCTCACTGACCCACCCCATGTCTGTGCTTCCAACTTGATTTTCGATTCTGATGCAAATCATCCTATTTCTGTGAGTCCTGCTCACACTAATGACACGTCTCTGTCCAGCCAGGGGTGAAAGGAATTCAAACTCTACCTGGGACACCAATTGGAGATTTATCGTGTTCACAATGGGGTACTCACTGTCTACAAGAGCCAAGCTGACTTGCTTTTCTTCAAAACAGTACAAAGTGCTCCAATAGGGGTGGTAAGAGTGACGTAGGTCAGAAAGGATGGAAGGAGTCAAGCAACATCCATCCAGTGACTCCTGGGGTACTTCATGCTTGTCCCCCCTCAGCGGTCCCCTGCTGAGCCTGTAAGGTAGGAAGGAGTAAGGATTAATCCAAGGAGTTTCAGAGCCCTGCTGGATTCACGTGAGGCAGGAGGGAGTGATGGCAGAAATCAAATGGGGCAGCCCATTAAATAGTTCAATATTCTTCTCTTCTTGGTGGGTCACAGTGTGGTTGCCATGGGGTAGGTTGCAATACAGAGAGAGGGAAAGAGAGAAGAGAGGGAGAGAAGCAACAGGAACTCAGCGAAGTGGCCAGATCACGATTTTCTGAGGAAGGAGACTGAGTGTCTCTGTATGGTACAGTCGTGACTTACTGAATATCATGTTCCATAATTATGGCTTCATTACTTTCTTTTAAATGGTATTAAATTTTATGTGTAGTGACCAAGTAAACATAGCATTTGAGGCATAATAATGTTCCCAAAATCTCATGCCATCAAGTCCTTCTTCTCTCATTACTATGTGTGGTATAATAATAATTTTTTTCTACCTAATTTCCTTGCCTTGAAATGCTTAGCACTGTGTTAATGCAAAGCCAGCAGAAAGCAGATATGCATCTCAGGCTGGTTGAAAACATAAGAAGTTAGCTGCTTTACGGAAATCTCTGGGACTGTTTAGTTGTTCAGAAGATCAACTGGTTTTATGTACTGAACCTGAGAAGTTAATGCAAAATGGCCAACGATGCAAGTATCACAATGAAAATGTAAAACATGGTTAGAAAGGATTATTTCTGGTTGGATGAAGGGATTAATTTGGTATATTTAGGACTTTCTGGGTTTCTGTGGATATGAGTTCCAAAGGTATCACCCCTGAATTGACAGCCCCTGATTTTTTTTAATTGGGATCAACTGTTTCTTTTCCTTTCACCTCTTCAAGATTATTTTGCTTTTCTGCAAGGAAATTAAGAAAAGACCAGTCACATGAACTTTATCCCATTCAAACGGGCACAACCTTGTGTGCAAACCTACCGAGGGGTATAAATAAACTCGGTGTGATAACAGGTTATTGTGAGAGAAATTTTCCAGGAGGCCTCAGGGTGAGCCTTGTGAAAAGTCACTAGGTTTGCTTGGACCAAATCTCCCTGATATGACAGGTCATCATCACAGTCCCTTCTGTCCTGAGTCACAGCAAAATGTTAACCATATCCTATTTACTGACAGATCCCGGAAATCTACTTAAATGTTTCCTAGCAGGTTACTGCAGTATTCAGTATGTTTCCATCTGATAACATGTTTTCGGTGTTTTTGTAGAATGTACATTTAGAAGGATAGATTAAATCAAATGAATCTCTAATGCTACATGGAAACATAGGCCTTTCATGTGGCAGGGAGTTCCAGGGCCCAGCCTCCTTTCAGAAACATACAAAATCTAATAGTGGTGTCATGTTCTGGTACTCACAGACCTCTTAGCTAAGACAAGCCTGCTAAAAGGGGAGGGAGTCTAGCCTGAGAGAAGTGAACGAGGGTAATGACAGGATATACATAAGGCTGCCAGTGGCCTTGGACAGGCAGAGAAACTCAGGTTGTTTGGGAGGGAAAATTAGAAGATTTCATGTGAGGTGACAGATGGAATCTAAATCAGGAGGACTGGTGGATACATCCTGCACCCAGGCTGCAGAGGTGGGTATGAATTTGTCAGGTCAACCTTGGGTACAGTGATTTGCCAATGGGGCAAAGATGAAAGACAATATGTGGTTTTGGAGGAGGATGGAGCACAACTCTGACTCCTAGGATGCCTTCCTACAAACTTAATCCTAAAGCCTGGTTCTAACAGGTATATAAGCATCGTGTCTTCCTGAAGGTATGACATCTATCATTATGGACAGATTGTGGGGTGCAAAGAATATGGAGTCTACCTAAGAAGCCAAGTGGCGTTTCATCCTGTTTGGAATTGGAGTAATCCCTGGCAACATCCTGAGCAGAGCAAACTTTCTCTTCATCCAGCGCCAAGAAAGTGACTTCATGATGCAGGTAAGAGTTGGATATATCATGGTGTCTAGAATGAGAAAAATCACATTCCCCTGTTAAGTCCTGCAGGACTCCCTTCTCTTCAGACTCCTGCAGCTTCCTGATGAGCCAGGTAGGATAGAAACGACAGCAGATTAGATCAAGACAGACTCAACACCACAGCATGTCATGTGATTTGATGGGACACAAAGGGAGTGGCCACAGAGAGCAAAGGGGGCATCTCCTCCAAGAGAGAAAACCCATCCTTCTAAATGTGGGGTGGATGTGACTGTCCTGGGGACAGAGCAACGCGAGCAGCAGGTGCTCAGTGCACTTGCCACAAACGAGCTGCTGCAGGAGACCCAGACTCTCCCTGTAAACTAGCCGCATGACTTGCCTCCGAGAGATCTAACATGGGGCTTCACTTCCTTCACAAAAATTGTGTTGACATTTACATGCAGCATCCAAGTGACCAGAGCTCTTGGGGCATTCCAGACACACAGATGCTGCTTTATGGTCCCCCTTTTTCAATATTTTGACATCATATGAAATTTTTATTTTTAATTTTCTCTCTTGCAACTAAGTAGTTGCCAACATGCTGACACAAAACACACAGAAATCATATATGCATCTCACTCTGGATTAACCACATGGGAGACCACAGGTGAGATCAGGAAATCCCTGAGTTTAGTCAGTTCACCTGGCTCAACTGATTGTCTGTTCCCATGCTTGAGAGAGATTAAGAAATTGAAAGCTATTCAAGTACCACAATAAAGAAGATAACATTGTTAAAGGAGTAATTTGCAGTTGGATGAATGGAGGAGACAATTCGTCGCTTCCTATTTTCCCTGGATCCGTGGTGTCCAGGTGTCACTATTGAACTAACAATCCACGAATCCACAGTTACCTGGGGAGCACTGGTGCTTTCCCCTCCTCTTCCTCATGATCATTCTGATTTTCTGTAAACAAATTCAGAAGAGCAGGTCACAGTAAGGAAATCACACTTCACACAAGTCGAAATCAGTGTCCAGTGATAGCACAAGAACATAAATATCCTCAGTGTAAGAATGTGACATTTTGACAGGAAGGTTCTAAGGTGCCCTACATTAAGTGATGTCAGAAGTAGATGAGCCTTCTTTCCATACCCATGAAACAAAATCTCCCTCGTCTGGCAGATCATAATCACCTCTCCTCTGACCTAAGTCTGTGCCAACAGTTAAACAAAACTTTTCTCACAAGAATTCAAAAATGGCCCTTACTACCCTCCAGAAGTGTTGTTGCAATACCGATTTATCTCATCATATATCATGGTCAATGAATGGTTAGAGAAATTTATATAGGAGACTGAACTGATGGATAAATTCTAACAACTCTTGCATAAAAAAGAGTCTGCGATGCTACACAGAAACATTGGCCACTCATGGGGTGAAGAACTCAGGGCTCAGCCTTGTTTAGGGAAACTTATAAGCAAGATAAAGGTAGAGGTGTTTATGTCCTGCTTTCAAGGTGACTGCTTAACTGGGACAAGCTGACCTAAAGGAGACCCAGCCTCGGTCTGAGAACAGTGAATCCAGAGAAACAACAGCTCCAAATACACAGGCGAGACTGTCAGTGGCCTGTGACAGGCATAGAAACTCCATGGACATTGTTCAGGGACACTAATCATTATTGCATGTGACAAGAAACATAGGAACCGAGCCAGGAGGCCTGACAGCTACCTCCTGTACACAGATGGCTATGACTTTGTCACACCTGCCTGTGGTCCAACATGCTGACATTGGGGCCAGGAAGACAAAGTGATGCCATGGGCCAAGGAGGAGAGGAAAGGTCTCTGACTCTCAGATAACTGTGTGCAATATTCCATCATAGTTCCTTCCTTCCTTCCTTCCTTCCTTCCTTCCTTCCTTTTCTTTCTTTCCTTCCTTCCTTCCTTCCTTCCTTCCTTCCTTCCTTCCTTCCTTCCTTCCTTCCTTCCTTCCTTCCTTCCTTCTCTGTTTCTCTGTCTTTCTTTGTTTTTCTTTTTTTCGAGACACGGCCTCTGTCTGTCACTCAGGCTGGAGTACAGTGGTGCAATTATGGCTCACTGCAGTCTCTGCCTCCTGGGTTCAGGTGACTCCCCCGTCAGCCACCGAGGTAGTTCCAATGGCAGGCACGTACCACCATGCCTGGCTAATTTTTCACATTCTGTGTAAAGATGGGTTTCACCACATTTCCCAAGCTGCTCTTGAATTCCTGAACTTAAGTGACCCACCCACCTAGGCCTCGCAAAGTGCTGAGATTACAGGTATGAGCCACTGCACCCAGCTCTGTCTTAGTTTGTAAATCAAACCAATATGTATGTACGCAGCCTGTCCTCAGAATTGATCTTCCTCAGCCTAGACAGAGGCAGGAGGGACAAAGAATAGAGAGGCTACCTGGGAGAATGTTTAGAGCTTCCTTCTCTTCATCATGAGAGGGTTCATTCTCTACAACCAGAGCAGAGTCAACTTTGTCTTCCTCAGATGTGATTTTGGTGCTCCTGTGAGGCTGGTTGGAGTCAGATGGGTCGTGACTATTTGAACAAGTGACAGCACATTCCTCCAGTGAGTCCTGAGGGACTTCCTTTCCTTCAGCCATCTGCACCTCCCTGATGTGCCCGGTGGGATAGAAATGACAGAATATCAAACCAAAAGGCATTGGACCCCAGGAAGTCCTACTGGTTTTGACAGGAGGCATAAGAGAGTGGTCTCAGAAAGCAAAGGGGAGTTTCCCTTTAAGAAGGAACAGACAATCCTCTCCTCTCTGCAACAGAGCAGAGAAAACCAGAGAGGAAACAGTGGCTGGTGATCACTGCACTGGGTAGGTAGGAGCTGAGGACGGAGACTCAGAAGTCTCTGTATGGTACAGTCTTGAGAGCACACAGAGACTTAAAACAGCTGCCACACAGTGTGTCTAACCTGGGTTGTAGTTAACACATGGTGGCCACGGGAATACAGGCCTTTGAGCCATTGTAGACTCCAGAGATGGTGTGCCTTCTATTTTTTTTTTTTTACATTTTAATATTGTGCTGTGAAATGTAAACTTTTTGTCTAGGTGCTTTTCTTTGTGTTCAACTTTGCTAGGTACTTCCTAATTCCTCTGCTTGTTGCCTCTCTGCTATTTATCTTTCCTTAAAAGAACATAAAGACAACCGTATAGAAAGCAGCTTTGCACCTCCTCCTGGCTTTCACTGCAGGGGAGAACATGTCTCCTTTGTGTGTGCAGGAAGTCCCTTGGGCTGTGAGTTCATCTAGGGTCATGCTTAGAGGTACCATGAAGACAATGGACAAGCATGTTAACAGGGCTATTTCCTTGCTGGGTCAGTGGATGGAATCAGTGGACTCTGCAGCTTTATTTATCCTGCATCTGGAATCTGTAACTACCTTCACCCACCTTGGGTTCTTTCTGAGACCCTTTTCATGTTTTACCACCCATTACTTGCTCCTGATTATACAGTGTTACCTGGGGGCAGGTGATTTCTGTACTTTCTCAACCTCCTCATCTTTCTCATCTTCATCCTCATCTTCATCATTCTCTGCAAATACAGAAGTGTCCATTCAGATATTTCCCACTTCACCTATGCAAGCACAGTGAGCCCTATGTGCACGGAGACATGAACATCTATATGTATGAGTCTGCATTGTACTGAAAGCTCTCATGTTTTATCTTTAAGAAAATGCCCTGGAATGGTTTCCTGATGCATGAGGCAATGCGTTTCTGATCTGCAGGGTCACCATCAAGATGTGGCCAAATATTGAAAAGATCTTTTCCTCTTCATATCACTGAAGACTTGTCCAGCCTCTCTCTGAACTTCAGCAGCTGTCTCCCCAATCCTGCCACACATCTGATTCCCAGGCACAGGCTCTGTGTCCTGTCACAGCTCGCATTTAGAACCTGTATCTTTCTCTTAGAATAGGACAAACAGCCTTGTCCCACAATACTCCGTACATCAGGGACTTCATGGGCCCTCCAGGTGTCTTACACTTCGTTATCTAGGGACATTGTCTCCACGGGGAGTGCTCCAGCCTAAGCCACTTCCTACCACCAAATGCCAGCACTTCAAGTGCCTTCTCCAACAGCACACAGCGAGGGGCTTTATCTCATGTGAAATAGAGTCATAAGTGTTCCCATATTTGAATGCCAGAGACAATTTGTTTGCCTTTACAGATTTAGAGACAGAAACCTAGGAAGGATAAATTAATCAGTTGGTCACAGTTGCTAAAGACATTGCTGAAGACAGAGCCTGGGAACCTTCACTCTTAGGCCCAGGCTCTTTTCACTCTAATAAGCTGCCTCCTGTCACAGCCTCCTTCCTGTCCTTTAAAACTGGATGAATGCTGCCTCTTGCTCCAAAGACCATGTTCCATCAAGAAAGGAGGAGACCTTTGCAATACTGTGACCTCCAGCCCAATGGGTTTCCCATCTCTGTTTTTACACAGGAAGTTCTGGTCATGTCACGCCCACAGATGTTTACTGGAAAGATAAACTACCCATAAAATTGTCATTGTGGAGGTGTGGAGGTATGGGGACTTCCATAAGCCTAGAGCTGTGTGTCATCAGGGCCCGTGGCCACCTCACCTGGGCTCAGCTTCTGGAGAAGGCGCTCTGCCAGCCGGCGCCCCTCAGCCAGTTGCTCTCGGAGATCCTGACCCTGGGACTTGTCAAGGTCATCAGGAGTGAGGAGGGCCTTGAAATGCTGATTCAGTGAGCGGGAGGCATCTCTCCCTTCCTGTAACTTCTCCCGTAACTGGGTCAGCTCTCGTGCCTGAGAGTGAACCAGGGCTTTATATTGCCTAAGGTGAGATAGTAGAGAACATTTAATAATGGAAAGGGATCAGTGATCAGGTCTAATACTGCAACAGAGGTTTCTGTGAGAATGTCCTCAAGGAGCCTTCCAAGCAGAAGGTCAGCACATATTTGGGGAAATGCCTTTGGCCAAGAGAAAAATAAAATAAAATATATATATATTTTTTAAGTTATACATATGTATATATTTTTAAAGGCTTCCTCTACATAAGAGAGTGCTCCTGTAAGATCCTCCATGATGTTCCATTCATCTTTCTTTTCTGTAAACAAAAGCCGGTGTCTTCCTAGATCGGTTCCAAAAGGATGTCCTTTCAGTTCTTCACTTTGGCCATGGACATTTCTATATGGAAATTCACACAGTGCATCTTGCAGTGACTTGAACTAAAGCCATGCACAGAAATGTGACCAGGTGCAAATGGGGTGAATTGGAAAGATGTAGCAAGAAAAAAAGGACAGGGTCAAGAAGGCAACATTGATTGAACGAATGACATGCGGCAGTCAGGAGGTGATTCTAACTAAGAGTAAATGGGGTGGTGATCACACACCATTTGAGTGTGCTAAATGCTGCTGGGTGGTTCACTTTCTTTTAATTAACTTTGGTTATGCAAATTTCACCTCAACAATGCCTTGTTTTAAAAAGAGAAAACAAGGTTCAAGAAACAACTGCAACCCATAACTTACTAAGATGACTGTTCTCTATTTTATAAATATTTGTGTGACATATGCCTGCCATGTAAATGCCTGCCCTTGTCCTGGCCCAGCTTAGCTCTTAGTTCTCCCAGCTGAGTTGCTGCACTTCAGAGATTCACACCCCTGCCCATCTGCCTGTCCCCAACGGGGCCTACTCACCCGAGCTCCTCAGCTTGTCTGAGCTTCTCTGCCAGCTTCTCCACGAACTGCTGTTCATCCCTCAGCACAGAGTCTATGATGTCTTTGTACTCTTCACACTCTGAGAAAAGACAGACACACCTGCCTCAGTGCAAGGCTGAACAAGCTGCTGGGATCACTGCCTACAGGGCAGGCAGCAGCATCCATCCCAAGGACGAAAGCAGCCCCAGTACCAGGCTCTAGGCAGGCATTTCCACATCTTTAGTTATCAACCTCCCAACTTTCTGGCATCTGATACTCTTCAACTTAGAGATGGGGACAAAAAAACTCAAGGGCACATCAAGTAACTTGACAAGATGATTCACCTGGAACAAGGCAGAGTCAGAATTCACAGCCCCTGAGGTCTGACTCTGAATCTTGGGACACTTTCCCAAGCCTTGCAGCCTCTCCTGTAAAACACTGCGCTGGGGCATGAAGTAATAATATCCTGCACAGTCGGAAAGACCCTTAGCACTATGGGACTCATGGTTTCCCTGGTACTGGAAATTTTAAGCACAAGTATGTCAAATATGTAAAATATCGTATCTGAATATAACTGCATAAAATATGAGGCATAACACCCTGAGGCTTTAGTGGAAATATGCCCAAATACTAATAAACTTTGAATTAAGTTAGACCCAGTAGAATGAAGAACTAATAGAGAGTGTTTTCTCTGTGCCAAGAACTGTTCTAGGAGATTGAGAAGAAATGGATCATGTAAGTCATTGGGGCACTTTTCTGAGGTACGTATTACTGTACAACCCATGTACAGATGAGGAAACCTAGGCACTGAGAAGATAGGCAACTTGGATGGAGCCCAGGAGCCCAGGGTCCCTGCTCTGTACACTACACTGCTACCTCCACAATGTCTTATGTGCCAGCTTTCTTCCTCTTTAGGAATGAGAGCCTGTGCCCCAGGAAGCAGGACTTCCCTCTCACCATGGTACTCCTTGCTCTTGATGCTGTCACTTATGGCTGCCGCAGTTACTATTAGGAGTAGTCTCCTCTTTAAACTCCTTAGTGCAGGTGCTGTGTACTGTCACTATGTTTCCCCCAGGGTGCCCAGAATAGAGCTTTGCCTACTGGGCCTCAAAGAAGTTTGAAGTGAGTGGAAGTTCATTAGTCCCAGATGTTTAGACCAACAGACTAGATGTTACCTGTCTGCAGCATCTTACATGGTACAGAGAGGATTCTCATAAACATGATTTAGCCTCTTGCTGAGAAGAACAGGTGGTTCTGTGCCTGTGTCAGCAGTCAATATGTTGGATTTTAACTCTCCTCTCACCTCACACCAGACTGCAAATGTGGAAAAGTTGCTAAATACTTTGTGCCTGTGTTTTCCATCCTTAACACCATGAAGTTAAAAAACCCATTTCTATTTTCCTAGAAGTATGGGAAGGATGACATTAATTTTGATGAAGAGACCGTTCAGTTTCTCAGAGAGAAGACAGGTGATCAGTCCTCACTTTCGTGATGGTGAATCTATAGAACTTACTGTATTTCTTCAGCTGGTTGGCCAGGGAGTAGGCAGTAGCTTGAGTTATAAGGAATTTCTCTTTGAGGTCTCGGAACTGCTGATTGCTCTCTGCCAGCTGGGAGCGCAATTCCTGGTTGATTTCTAGGATGTTCATCTCTGCCCTCTCACTGGACAAAGGGTCGGCAGATACCACCATGCTGATGTTTGTGGCAGAAGAGGTAGAGTCAGGGACTGGGGAGAAGAAACCCAAACACATGATGGGTCAAAAACTAGTGAAATCAGTTAGGTTTAATCAGGACTGAGAGATGACAATAACTGGAATTGTTAACTTACAGTTGAGAAAAACTTGATCAACACCCACAACACTTTAGAGTCCTTAACCACAAAAACAGGGTCCAGGATGCCTGAGCTCAAAGGTGAAGGCACTGCCTAAAGCTCCGACTCTGACAAGAGTGAGGGAGGTAGTAGCCAGCGTGCCAGGTAACGGTCTGCAGTTGCAATAACAGAATTCGAAGGTGGGGGTGTCATGGAATCTTAGGAGCCCTGTATTCCAATTGCCCAGCCTGTGCTGAAACACTTGGCTCCCTGGTCTCACCTGAGGGTCACTGATGGGGACCATTTCTTTAGCAGTCACTCTCAGTATTAGTGCACCCTTGTGACAATGCTATAGGCCCACCTCTTTCCCAATACATCTAAGCCTATTCCTCATTGCTCATCTCTTGTGTGTATAAAATCATCAAGGTAGAGATATTTTCCCATAAGGTTGTTTTCTTACTGGTAGTCACAAAGTCACCCCATCTTCTTTTTAAGGTAAAATGATCTCAATGCTTTTCTGCAAGTGAAAGATATCAAATTTTAGACTGCTATGGTATCCTTTGGGTCTTCTGCAGTTTTTTTCTGTGCCTACTGAATATGAGTGAATAATTTATTTTTAAAAAATATTTTCTATCCTTTCTCAGTATTCTTGATGCATCCCATTGTTATGTTGGTTTCTTTTCTCTTACTGGGGAAGCATCTTGTCCTTTCACTACACTTAAGACCAGTTTCACATCCCTACATCCATAGCTCTTCCTCTATGCGTGGATTGGTTTGCTTTTTTAATGTCACTGAACACTCGTTTCATACTTATCACTTACAAAGATCATTCTGGTTCCACAAGAGTTCTTTTCAAGGTGTCAAGTGATGAAAATCATTTGTATATATCCCCTGAAAGCATGTGTGACCATGTATCTTGGGAAGTCTTGTAAACCTGTAACTATTTTCATTTAGTTTTCCCATATATTGAAAAGAACAGGGCCATGAACACTTCTTATGGAACACTGTTGGATATATATACATTTTGATTTGCTCTAAACCACTGATGTGTGGTTGCATTCCAGTAACAGAACCTGGCAAGATCAAGCTCATGGTCAGAGGTGGTTGGTGATCCTCAGTGTTCCTGTGCAATAGAAGGTGAGTTTGAGATGAGAGGGATGAGTAGGGGAGCGTGATCCCCTGAACCACCTCCTCACTTTCTCAGCTTTCATCCCCACCTAGATTTTGTGATGCTAGAACTTGGGAGATTGTCCTGTAGCCCAAGTCTCCTAAGTTTGGCTGCTGGACTTGCCTGAGTTGAGGTGTGATAAGTGTGACCACGGGCTACTCAGCATTCATGTGGAAGTGAAGGGAGGAGGACTGGATCAATCCCATTGTAAAGCGTGCCTCTCAGCAGCCTGCACCATCCTCCAACTACACTGTGTAATGACAGTGCTTTGAGAGGTAGCAAAGGCTGTAAATAAATCTATTTTCTGGTGTGTGTGAGACCTGATATTATATGGGAGGAGGAAAAATTTGCAAAATTTCTTCATTTTAAAAATGGTGAAACTGCAGATCAGAAAGATCAGAAAGTTATATGGCTTACTTGAGGTCACACAGGGATGAGTCTTGAGCATTGTCAATAAAAGCAATCACATTTATTCAGTGATTATGCACAGAATCCATAGAATTCAGTGAATATTCATATAATTATGAATAATATTAATCGACCAATTTGTACCAGGCATTTTCCCCAAAACTGCACATATTTAGACTTTGTATTTTCATCATAATCCTTAAGGTAATGTTATTATCTATAAGAAACAGGTATGAAACCTGAAGAAGAGGATAGCAAATCATGTATTTGGTCATATTTCCATTTTTTTGTTTCTGTGATTCTGGCAGAATGACCATATTGAGTCAAGGGAATAGTATTCACTACTGTATCATTTTCCAGAACAGAGATGTGCCTTACTAGAGTATTTGGGGTCAAAGTTTAGAAGTGTCTGCAACCTTGCTTTAACAGTATGGGAAATAACCTCTATTACCTGGAATTTCAATGGAACTTCCTAATATACAAGAGAAGTATGACACTTGGGTCTTCCGTTGGCTGTATTTAATTCACTCTTCTATAGAATACCAATTATTCTCATTAAGATTTTTGCCTTTTTGTAACCATGATATATATTTTTTATGGAGAAGATTTTATACTCTTAACTCTATTTAGAAAGAATAAATATAAGCTATGGCTTAGGTTTTATGCCCTGGACTTAATAGTTTTCTGATTTCTATTTTGAGGTTAAATTCTCATTTAAATAGAAAAATACTCGTTATTACTTATAAGAGCAAATTAGTTATTGGTTTGAGTTTCTGAAATTGAAGCACAAACTTTTGTTTTTAATCTTTGTCTGTCCCCATCAGCGCCACTCATTGTCTTTCAGTATGACCTGGCCGTGTCCTGCACTTACCCTCATCCTGCTGAACCATTTACATGCACTGTCCAATTCCACCAGTGATTCAGGCTCTTCTCAAAGCTCTCTGAAATGGGTCCAGGTCTCAGGATGTCAGACACTCTCCAGACACAAAAGCAAACCATACTGTAGAGTGGGCAGCTGTGTTCCAACCTCCCTGAAGTTGGCAGGGATGTCCTAGAGCAGGAAGGAATGCTTTCCCTTTTTAGGGGGTCTTTTCTTCATGTCTCAGTGCTTCTGATCTAGTGAACACAATTGTCCTGAATGAAAAAGAACTTGCTAAATTTCTGGTTTCTTGTTAGGCGGCTAGAACAGATTTATAAGACTTACTTACCCAAGTCTGCTGAAGTTTGAAGTCTTAGCAGTACGATTCCTTTTCTTGTAAGTTGAGCAGCTTGGAGAAAGTTGGCCCTGTTGCCATGCAAAAAGATGTAAACTTAACATCTACTCAAAGCAAGCTTGAATTTGAAACTAGGGCTTCCACTGTTCCAAGGTTGGACTGTCACTGCCTCAGGCATGTGTCCCGAAGGGCTCGTGTCTCTGCCATACTCAGGATAAAGTTAAGATGGAGCCCAGCAAGGCATGTCTCCTTCACTTCTAGGTTCCCCCAACAGTTTTCTCCTCTTTAGAGACTGCATTGAATACATTCTTGTTCTGCTTTTGTGTTTTGGCTTTGGAATGATGTGATGGAGCTCAATGATTCCTACCCGCAAGTTGACCAAAGTAAGAAACACCTGGAAGGTCAGTGCAAATAGATGTCCAGTGTCCTCCTTGCAGGGATTCTGATTCAGTGCCCTCAGGTGGGGCCTGGAATGTGTTTGTTAACATGACTCAGATGTGCAGTCAGTTTGGGGACACTCTGATACCACGGACCTTACAGTTTATGGGATGATTCTGTTTTGCTGATGAAGAAACCAAGGCACAGAGAATCTGTAACTTGCCCAAGTTCCCTTTGCTGTAAGCACTGGAGCCCGATGTCAAGAAGAGTCCCCCTTCCCCAATCCCCTTTCCACATTTTCCAATTCAGTTGTGTAGGTGCTTTCCAAGTAGGTGTTTCTCTCCCCCGTACCTCATTTCTGCAAAACAAGCAAACACACATTAAAACAAACAAACAAAAAACAAAACAAAACAAAAAAATTCTTGAATTCAATTTGTTTCATTTAATATATTTCCTTACAACTTGCAGTCAGCATTATATTCTGGCCACTTACTATTAATGTGAGATGCTTGGGTTTTTTTTGTTTTTTTTTTTTGTTTTTTTTGTTTTTTTTGTTTTGAGACAGATTTTCATTCTGTCATCCAGGCTGGAGTGCAGTTGTTATTAGAGCTCACTGCAACCTCGAACTCCTGGGCACAAGCAATCCTCCTGCCTCAGCTTTCCAAGTATCTGGAACTCTAGGCACGCATCACTATTTCTGGCTAATTTTTTGTTTTTAAATTTTTTGTAGAGACGAGGTCTTGCTATGTTGCTCAGGCTGGTCTTAAACTTCTTTCACTCAAGAACTTTTTATTGAAAAGTCTTTCATTTCCCCAATGAGAAGCACTGGTGTCTTTGTTTTTAAAAACTTTAAATAACTGTATATATGTGAGCATAATGTTTGAGTCTGTATTCTTTGTATGTTGATATACTTCTATATACTTACACTAGTACCATAGTTTTTAAATTATTGTAGCTCTAAAATGAGTTTTGAAATCCAGCAGAATAACTCCTACAACTTACTGCTTCTTCAAGACTGACTTGCCTGTTCTAGGTTCTTTGATTTTCAAATACATCTTGAAATTAGGTTTTACATTTCTCTAAAAATTCCTACTAGAAACATTAATCAGAACTATGTTGATGTAATATCCTAACAAAATTGAATCTTCCAATCCATGAATGTAATATATTTCTCTATTTAGTCTTCTTTAATTTCTCTCACCAATAGTTTTCAGGGGCTTTGTACCTGCTTCATTATATGTATTCTTAAGCATGTAATGATTTTGGATATTAATCTCTATTATTTTTTATTGAATTTCATTTTCTAGCTGCTAATTGCTAGTATGGAGATATTAAGATGACTAAATCAACGTTATAAGGATATTTATTAGGTACAATAGACTGCACCACTTTAAAATGAATAATCCAATTCATGTTTACAAAGGTATACACTAATGGAACTACTGCTACAATCAAGATATAGGAATTTCCATAAGCCCAAAGTTTCTTGTAACCCTTTGCAGTTTATCAATCTTTCAACCCTCAGGTCTGAGGAGCCACTGTCACTTTCTGGCAGTGCATTTTTAACCATTTTCTATAAATGAAATTATACCTGTGTTCTTTTGTGTCTGCCTTCTTTCATGTGTTATATTAATTTTAAAATCCATCCATGTGAGTATTTTCAGCAACAGTTAATGCCTTGTAATTGCTGAGTAGTATTCCTTTGCGTGGCTATACCATGTCTGTTTATACATTCACTTATTGCTGGACATTTGTATCATTCTAGGTTTGGGCTATTTTGAATAAAGCATCATGAGCATCCACATACAGATCATTGTGTGGATATAGTGTGTAAATTCCTAGGAGTGGAAGGACTGTCCATCTGATCTGTACACGTTTAGTCTTACAGGAAACTGTTAGCCAGATTTTCAAAGGAGTTGTACCATTTTTCATTCCCGCAAGTATAAAACTTCCAAGTGCTTTATATGTGGTATTTTCTGTCTTTTTAATTTCAGCCGTTCTCATGGATAAGTAATGGTATCTCATTGTTGTATTGATTGATCTCCCTGATGACTAAAGAGTTGAGCATCTTTTCATTTGCGAATTGACCATTTATGTATCTTATTTTCTGAAGTATCTATTCAAGTCTTTTGAGAAATTTTTTCATTGTGCTGTTTATCTTATCAGACTGCATTATATATACATACTATTAAAAAATCCTTTGTTGGAGATAAATATAATTTCTCCTCTATTGTGGCTTCTTTTTATGTTCTCTGAATGTTACCTGCTTTGAAGATAAAGATAGATAATCATCAAAAGGTGATTATGTATATATACATATAACTATGTTCATGTCTAAGAATCATTTATTAGACATATACATAAGGATCTATTTCTGAATTCTCTTTTGTCTTATATTGATATATGTTCTATTTTTCAACAATACACATTATCTTGATTTCCATAGCTGTATAGTAAATCTAGAAATAGGGAGTGAATACATTCACCATTGTTCTTTTATAATATTGCTCTCTTATTATTATTGATCCTTGACATTTTCATACAAATCAGCTTATAAATTTCTACCAAATTACCTGTTAGAATTTTTCTTAGAATTGCATTGCATCTGGAGATCAATTTGGGTAGAACTGACTTTTTAACTATAACAGCACTTCTGATTCATGACAAGGTTTATCTCCCCACTAATTTAGTTTTTTTTTTGTTTTTTTTTTGTTTTTTTAATAATTTCTCAAAGCAGTGTTTTGTAGTTTTCAGTGTTCTGGCCTTACATAAATTTTGTTGATTGTTTCTAAGCACATCATGAATTCAGATGTTACTTTAAATGAAATTGTATTTTTATTTTATTTTCCAAACACTCATTGCTAATATACAGAAATACAACAGACTATTTATATTAAACTTACATTCTGCAACATTGCCAAATTCACTTAATAGTTTTGGTAAATTTCTGTATATTTCTGGAATTGTTTACATACATAATCATGATCTGTGAAGAAAGATAGCTTCAATTCTTTCTTTTCAATCTTTGCAATGTTTCTATTTATTTACTGTTCTTACTTTATTGCAATGGATAATATCTCTAGTATAATGCTGGATTGAAAGAGTAACAGCAGATATTCCACGTTTTTCTCTATTTAATAGAAAGCATTCAATCTTATTAATGTTACCTGTGGGTTTTTCAAATATGCCCTTAGTAGAGTTGGAAGTGTTGCCTTCTGTTCTTATCAAGCTGAGAGTTTGTTTTCTTTAATCATGAAAAAAGTTTTCAATTTGCCAAATGCTTTTTCTGTGTATGTCAAGGTAATCACATGGTTTTTCTCTTTTGTCCTGATAATATACAGAATTATATCAGTTTTTAAATATAAAAAGATTTATTAAATCAAGCTATGGCAGTTTTAAAATAACATTTTAAACTTTTAGCAATTATATTGAGATATAACTTACATGCAAAAAACTGCACATAATTAAAGTGTTTAATTCTAAAAGTTTGAGCATCGTATACATCTGCAATCAGGATAGTAAATATATACAGGCATGGTGGCTCATGCTTGTAATCCCAGCACTTTGGGAGGCCAAGGCAGGTGGATAGATTGAGCTCAGGATTTCAAGACCAGCATAGGAAACGTGGTGAAACCCATCTCTAAAAAATATACAAAAATTGGCCAGGCATGGTGGCATGTGCTTGTAGTCCCAGCTACTTGGGAGGCTGAGTTTGGAGACTTGAGCCCAGGAGACAGAGGTTGCAGTGAGCCAAGAATGTGCCACCACACTCCAGTCTGGGTGACAGAACCAGACACTGTCTCAAAAAAAAAAAAAAAGATAGTGGATATATATACCATTTCCAAAGTGTCCTTGCATCGCTAGTAATTCCTCCCTCACCTTTCTACCCCACCTCAGACAACTACTGGTTGGCTTTCTATCATAATAGATTAAGTTTTCTATAAATAGAATTATACACTATGTAAATAATTTTGGTTTGATTTTTTAATTCAGAATAATTATTTTGAGATGTAGCCATGTTGTCATGTGTATTAATAGATCACTGTGTTATACTGCTAATATTCCATGTGATGAATATATCACAATTTATTTTATTTATTCATCTGTTCATGGATTTGGATGGCTTCTGGTTATAAAACTAAAGCTTTTGTCAACGAATCTGTATGGACATATCCTTTCCTTTCATTTGGGTGAAACAGCAGTATCATATGGTAGGTACAGGTTTACTATTTTAAGAAGCTGCTAAACTGTTTATAAAGTGCTTGTAAAGTTTCACATTCCCATCAGCAGTGTATGAGAGTTTTTGTTTCCATACATCTTTGCCAATATGTGGAATGGTGATTCTTTTAACTTTAGTCATTTTACTTGGTATACAGTGGTTTAAATTTGCACTTGCCTAATGACTAATGATATCGAATACCTTGTCATATTGTTATGTGCCTTCCATATATCTTCTTTGCTGAATATCTCTACAAATCTTTTATTCACTTGAAAATTTGATTGTCTCTTTATTAATAAATTTTGAGAGTTCCCTTAGTGTTGTAGACAGAGGTCCTTTATCAGATCTATAATTTCCAAACATTTTCTCCTTAAATATGGCTTGTCTTTTCTTTCTCTTACCAATGTCTTTGAGGAGCAATTTTTTAAAAGTGTTATTGAAGTGTAATTTATTGTTTTGTTCTTTTACCAGTTTTTAGGGGGAATGCTTCCAGCTTTTGCCCATTCCATATGATGCTGGCTGTGGGTTTGTCATAGATAGCTCTTATTATTTTGAGGTATGTTCCTTTGGTGTGTAGTTTGCTGGGAGTTTTTTTAACATGAAGTGATGTTGAATTTTATCAAAAGCCTTTTCTGCATCTATTGAGATAATCACGTTTTCAGTTTTAGTTCAATTTATGTGATGAATCGTATAATGTATGTTGAACCAACCATGCATCCCAGGAATGAAGCCTGCTTGCTCATGGTGCATTGGCTTTTTGATGTGCTGCTGGGTTGGATTTCCTAGTTTATTGTTGAGGAGTTTTGTATCTATGTTCATCAGGCATATTGGCCTGAAGTTTTCTTTTTATGTTGTATGTCTCTGCCAGGTTTTGGTATCAGAATGATGCTGGCCTCTTAATATGAGTTAGGGTGGAGTCCTTCCTCCTCAAGTTTTTGGAATAATTTCAGTAGAATTATTAGCAGCTCTTCATTATAGAAGAATTTAGCAATGAATCCACCTGTTCCGGGCCTTTTTCTGGTTGGTTGGCTTTTTATTATCAATTCAATTTCAAAACTCTTTATGATCTGTTCCAGGATTTCAGTTTTCTCCTAGTTCAATCTTGGGAGAATGTATGTTTCCAGGAATTTACTCATTTC